TAGTATACTATAATATGAATCAAAAATCTCATTTTTTATTAAAAGGTCCCCGGAACCCATTTTTAATAGCAAAGCTCTCATATAATTACTTTTGGTTATGTAGTAATTTTTTCAAGATATAAGCTTTATATTACAATAATATTGAGTATTTTTTAATTAATTTAATTATAACTGGTTTTAATATAGTGTAATTATAAAAAGGTTTTATATAATATAATTATATAAGAATTAATTGTCTTTGTATTAAACAAATTCTATTATAATTAATATGCTGAATTTTATGATAATAATCAATAGAAATTAGACCAAATTTTATTTAATATTTGATACTTTATAAACTTGATGAATTGGATAATTTTGTTTAGTGAATTTATAAAAACATGAATCTATATAATAGAAATTGCAATAACTTAACTTTTATAATAGAACAAAGATTTAATCTTAACTAAATAAGCATTTATTGTATTAGGTCTTATATTATATTAAAGTAAGAATATATAATTCAAAAAATTTGAAAAAATTAGAATCTTTCTTCAAGAGAGCTAGTTACAAATATCAGCATAAAGTCTATTAAAACTCTTTAAGAATATGAATTGTTTAAAAATGATATAATAAAAAAACTAGTAGCTATCCTATATGATATTGATAATATTTATTAAATTTTAATTGAATTTTTATATAAAATAATTATTATTATTCTTTATTTTTGTAAAATAATGATTTTTTACTAAGTGATTTTAGTAATAAGCTTAATTTTTATATTTGCAAGATTTTAAGCTGATTTGTTTGTTATATTGTATATAATAACAATAATTTTTTAATAGCAAATTTTATATAAATACACTAATAAAAAATTTTTTCATTATTATGTTAATTAATTTTATTATTTTATTAAAAAAAATCATTTAAAAAAATATTATAATAATAAATCATCTAATAATTTATAAAATATATTTTATTTAATAGTGGAATTTTTATTAATTTGTCATTGTTCTTAAACTTTTGAGTAGGTAGTAAAGGAAGTAAATGCTGAAGTCATAAATCAAGAATTTTATTCTTCTCGTTATCGTCATTAATTGATATACTAAGAATCAGAATTATTGATTAAAATTTAAATAAAATTTAAGTGATTATTTAATATATATACTTACCGATATGATTCTGAAGAACTTTCATTCTCTAAACAATTTAGTATTAATAATCATTGAATAAGTTAATATAATATTAATCATTTTGAATTTTTATAATATACATACCATTTTTTATTATATTTCCAAAATCTAGCTTTTTAAATTCTTCCAATACTTCATCTATGGTAGTTCTTCGTTCAAGTTCTTGATCCCAGCATTTCTGGTAAAATTTTTCATAATCTTTGGGAGTATTTGGTTCAGTAGTTTCACGAGCTCCGTTATTGACAATAGAACCAGCAAGAGCAATTTTATTGCAATCTTTAAATGGAGGACGTCCACTAGAAATTTCTCACATTAAAACACCAACACTATAAATATCTGAAGATTTTGTGTATGGAAACTTCGAATCTGAAAGACGGTTGGGTTCAATATAAGCAACAATACCAAAGTTACTATAATGAATGGTAGAACTTTGATTATTGTCATATTTAGAAATTCCAAAATCTGTAATTTTAGCATTATTTTCATGTATAACTATATTCCTAGAATGCTATTAAATAAAAAAAATATATATTGTTTAAAATTAATTTTTATATCATGATTATCGCAATTATAAACAACATACCAGATCCCTATGTAGAATGTTTTCGTTATGTAGGTAATTTAATCCTTCCGCAATTTGGAACGCTAATCTTTTTTTATCATGCCAATATAATGTATGAAAGTTAATATGAAGATATTTGCGAAGGTCGCCTCCATCAGCATATTGCATTACAAGAAGATATTCATTTGTTTTGTTATCTAAAAAAATTTTTTTTTTAAATAATACAATTAATTATTATAAAATAAATATAAATTAATAATACACTATTATTTACCTAGACTAACACCTGAGCAATGTATAATTCGATCACTATAATTGAGTTGTAAGTGAATTTTTAACTCATGAATAAAAGCTTTCAATACTTGATTCTTAATAGCTTTTGCATTTGTTAATTTCTTATAAACAACATAATCATTGAATGTTGTCCAATACGCTTTCGTAATAGATCCAAAACCTCCTTTGCTAAGTGCTTCTGCATTTATTAGGTCATTAAATGATATAGATTTAACCATTCCACTATTTAAAGCATGATTGATCCATTCATTTGCATCATTTTCAATTAATTTTTCTTGATCTAAATTTCATAATCAATTTTCTAATTGCGAAATTAATACTTTTAACATTTAAATTGATATTACCTGGCCTTTTTGTTTCTACTTTGGTATCCACAGTCAGCGATGAAAGAGGTGATTCAATTGAACCTTTAGAATCTTACGATAAGAATTATTATAATTCAAAATCAAATTAAAGAACAGGAAAGTATCAGAGATGTTTTCAATATCTTTATTTTCTCAATTAGTTCTCAATATAAATACCTTCTGTAAAACTATATCCAAGTAGGTCGAAGGAACATTCAGAAATTACTTCATTCCCGTTATCAATTTTCAACTTTACATGATTTGAAGTTAGAATACAAAAAGATAAAATTATATCAATAGATATATCTGTTGCTTTGACTATTTGAACATTAATAGCTTTATTTTTCCACGAAACTAATTTAATATGTTCATAATTCGTTAAAAAATTATATTTATTAACGAAAATAACACGTCCCTGAGATAATTCAAGAGATAGCTCGATGTAATAGTTTGATTTATTAGGTTTGTATGTAATAGATTTTTCAAAACATTTGATTTTGCATTCCCGATTCTTCGGACTAAAAGTTGATAATTTTGAAGGTTTCCCAACAATCATCCATAAAACATAACATTCTGTTATATTGATACTCGTATCTATCAATTTTCTTATTATTGCATAAAATCCGTTAAACTCATATATTCCAAAATTAATGCAAAACTCTTTCAATTTTGAATAATTTTTTGAAATAATTGATCCAAATACTCTATAATCATCATCTTTCAATCTTGGTTCCACATTTATACGTTTATAATACTCATCACCATTATTGTTATCTATCCCGTAAATCAGTAATTCCTGTCATTATGATTTTAAAATCATTTACTAATATATCTTCTAACTTTTTTCGTTGCTCTGCTTTAAGAACATCATGGATAGAAATAATATTATCTAATTCAATAATTTCTAAATTTTTTGAATTAGTAATCCAATTAGATAAATTATTTGCTTCAACGATTCTTCCTTTTTGGGTTAAATAAAATTAAATGTTCAACTTATTTAAGTGTGGCTTTAACGATTCAAATATTGGAGCTTTTAAATCAATATGATCACTAATATTGGAAGAATTATTTGGCAATATACTTTTAAGGGATCTTCCTAAAACAATCCTTAGAGGAAATAAATGACCATATTCATCAAATATGTTTTGTAAAGTTCAAATGGATTCATATTATCAAGTGCTTGTTCTATTGCTTCTTCAAATTCTTTGGTAGGTTTTATATTATATTTATTTAGGAAAATTTCGCATTCTTCAAATTTGATAAGTACATGGTTATAATTTCCATAACTTTTAACTATAGTTTTGATAAATGGAAAAGAATTTAAATTTTTAATTGTAAGAATATTATTAGAGATCAAATTAACTTCTAATTTTGTTGAAGGCTTGATCACTTTCAAATAATTTCTATCACTTTTATTAACTTTAAGAAGTTCATTAATAAATTTAATGGCGCTTTTCTTGCTGATTTCTATTTCATTATTTCCATTAAATATTAATCCCTGAAAAAGGTGAAAGTTACTAGCCCAACTCATTAAGTTATCATGCAATGAACCGCCAATCCATTCTTCTAAATTTAACTTCTCGTCAAAATTTGCGATACCGGGTTGTGATTTGCTTTCCGTTAATTGAGAAATGGAAATGAGATTTTCATAAGAAATTATTTCAATCTCTTTCTTCTGATACAAATTATTCATCCAATTGGATAATTCTTCATGAGAAGATAGTTTTTTCCCATCTAATGTTTCAATTCTTGGTAGAAGATTCAAATCAAATGAATTATTTCTGGAATATTTCTGGAATATTTAGCTGAATTATATGATCTGAATAAATCAAATTTTAAAACATCGATTTGCGTTGTAGCAGATGAATCAATACCCTTGATGAACAATTGACCACCGACTAAGAATTTTCTTGCAAGGAAATGACCATATATGTCTTGTAACTTTATTTTATCAACAGTATATTTTAAAACAGATTCCAACTGATAATCACCCTTGTAATTGATTTCAGCAATCGGAAAATTAATACAAATTTCGGATAATTTTTTACTACAATCAACATCATTTATTCTAGTATAAACTATAGGTTCTTCTTCAAATAAACTTATATCAAAATCAAAACAGATATTGTTAACAAAAGCTTGTTTACTTGGTTGTATACTAGTTCCATTTAATAATAGGCCATGATTTAATTTAAATTGTCGAATCATTTGTTGCTTATCAGAAGTTAATTTTATTGTTGTCTTCTTAATATCCGTAATTAGCAATGATGAAATAGGTAATTCAATCATTGATTTAGAATTTTGTGATTTTATGCTAGCAGAAGTACTATGTCTGGATGGAATAGAGAATGATTTAACCTTGGCCAAATTATCTTCATCTTTATATGATAATATATTTGGAGTATCATCACTATAACAAGGAAAAAAAGGTTAATCTAGTAATATTTGACGTTAAATATAAGTTCTATAAAATGAATAGATACCTTTCGTATGGATCGAAGTAACGTGTAAGTTTTTTTTTTGAAATCTTTGTTTTGTTTATACAAATAGTACAATCTTTACTCTTACAAATAATATCTTTGATTCGAAATCGATAAATGTTTTGTTTCAGAAAAATTGGACCATAATTGTTCTCAACCGTGAAATATAAGCTAACATATTTTGGTTTTAGAGAATTAGTAGAATCTTTGCGAAATTCTATATATGGATTTTTGAAGAGGTTTTTTTGAAAATTTAGTGTACCGTAAGTATTTTGGTTGTAATAATTTGAAATTACAAGCGTATAAAAAGTAAAGCTAGGCAAATTGTCATAACTATTTTTCTCTGAGCAATAAGAAAATACAATACACGTGCTTTTGTTTGACTCCTTTGAGTATTTACAAAATAATGTCCTATTATGAGACGTTTATTTGAAGAATCTAGTGTACTTAATGTAGGAATTCCAAAAAAAAGATCTTTCTCCGTTGTATCACGCCCAATATCCAAAGATTCATTATGCAACTTTGTTGACGCACTAACGCAAAAGATTTTCTTCAGAATGTTTAATTGATAATTATAATCTAAAAATTTATAATTGAAATCTATATCATAACCAATAACCATCCATCGTATTTTTAATTTGCATTGACGCTTTTTAAACCTTCTATGAGTACAATGAATTACAAGTCTAGGTTCCGCCATTGATGGACATAATATTTGACAGGTAAAAAATCCACTTGACTTTGTCGTATCAACAACTGTTGCAAAAAAGTTACAATCTGCATCCACATTTCGAATTATTTGTGAAATATTTGTCGGTATCTTTAAATTAATGACTTCTGGATATTCCTTCAACTGATATTCGATGCCTTCAATTTTCGAATAAAGAATCCTTTTTCCTAAAGACGATATAATTTTTAAACGCAAATCATAAGGTAAAAGTTGAAAAATACCAATAGGATCCTG